AATTGTCTTAACTAAGTAGATACTCGGGAGAGAAAGTCTCTTGTGTTAATCATTTTTTTCTTCTCTCACTCCTCATGTTATCTTTTTTTCCAAAATAATAAAACGAGTGAAGAGGACGAACTAGAAGAAGAAGAAAAGAAAGAAGTGAGAATCGTACTAGCTGGTGGCTCTCCTGAATTGGTCCATCTGTTTTCTTGTTGCTGGCTCATCCACAAGAGCACAGCTGAAAATTTGAGTCCAATTGGCAAGACTTTGTGTGAGAAGTTCTGTGAAAAGACTCAGCTTAAATCTGTGCGGAAATCTTTTTCAACTGATTATTATCCTCACNTGAAAAGACTCAGCTTAAATCTGTGCGGAAATCTTTTTCAACTGATTATTATCCTCACTTTTCTTGTTATTCTTTTAAAAATTCCATTGATTTGCAAATATATTTTTTTGTTTCTACTTCTCTCTCGAATCAAAAAAAAAGAAGTACGAATTGTAAGTTGAGATTTTTCAAATGAAGGAACTCTTTGAGTTTGTTATTCTATCTTCAATAACTGCACAACTTCAATAAATGATAAAACTTTATGGAGTATAGTTATTCAGCTATTACAACAAGAAAATCGGTGCTGAAAGGCGCTGTTCTGTTAGTCTCAGGTCTTAGGCTCCGCCCATTATTTTGTGCGCCCTCGAGAATACCATAGCTTTTTGACAAAAAGTATTCTCAGCACTGGGGGGATACCCCCAGACCCCCCGTTCAGGGAGGTAATACTTGGGTTGGTTTTGCAGATACTATCTGACTAAAAGTATTCTCGGATTTAGCCTAAGCCTTTTTGTGGGAAGATAAAGTATTTATTGAGGTTAAAACAAAAAACAATTTCAAAAAACATGCTTCTCAAAAAAATATTCCTTTATATCATTAATTATCTCAAAAAAGGTCTTTCTCTTTGTTTCTTTTTCTGTAAACGAATTCACCTATTCGTAAATGTATACTGCTGTTTGGAACCCCATTGATATTCTTACTTATATCTTTTCTGACTAAGCCCCACAGGCCTCCATCCTGTTTGTACATGTCTTATTATTGGGGTTCACAAAATATCGGGAATGATTTCCCGTCATATGAGTGAATCTATGGCTTAAATTAGACAGTTGACTTTACCCTTTCCACAAAAGAGCGCATAAAATAATGGGCGGAGCCTAAGACGGGCGACTAACAGAACAGAACCAGAAAATCATTTTCTTACGAGATGAAACGTCTTTCTTGAAACTTTCTAATCGAAGTCAATTGACACTTCCAACCCTTCCATCGCGTACATTCCCAAGCTATTGACATTTGCAAAATGAGCTCTCGAAATGTGGCACTCTATGTATCTTTCTGAGTCCTGAACATTTCGATTAAATCATTAAAGTGTATGTAAAATAAAAACAAACTTGGCGCTATTGCATGAAGTGCCACTCAGACGTATGCTAATTTTCACGTGGGAGTATGAAAGCTAATGCAGAAATTCAATCAAATGTGAAGATGAAATTTGATGATAATGACTGTATAACGCTCTCATACTGCACACGTGAAAATTAGCATACGTCTGTGTGGCACTTCATGCAATAGAGCAAACGTGTATGACAATGTTGTGGAGGTCGTGGCTGAATCCAGGGCCAACGAGTTCTTCAATCATCTTCACCGTCAAATAGGTGTAGGGTGAGCTGCTGTTTGCAAGGAACCAAACATTCAGAATTTTTTGCTTCTGTAAGTTCATTATAATCACCAAGGTTTCTACAAACTAATGGGATCATCAAACGGAAGTTCCTTTCGTGGATGCGCCCCATGGCGGGAAAAGGTGTGCTAGAAAACGCTCCAACCGACATATTCTCGATGTTGTAGGCGGCTCCTATCTGAGAAAATGGATATTAGATGAAAATATAACAAATACACCCTACTTCAATTAATTCGTTTTCGTCAATATCGGAAATCAATACATCAAAGTCTCTGTAAGGAACGGCCAGCAACGAATCATCAGTCGAAATACTCTAAAAATGATAAATTATTTCAGAAAAAAGGATAACAATTTCAAATAGAGCATTAAAACTCAACTTAATTTGCGAGTTGAAATTCGATGACTTTTTTTACCGTAATCCCCCTAACACAGTGGAGAAATCTTGCGGTGGTACGCATCAAATAAACTGAGCAACGGAGAAACATCTGAATTGTCTGAATTTTTTTACAGTTAGCAACAAATGGAAAAAAAAACATCAAGAAGAAAAAAATGACCACGACGATCTAATAAGGAAGTATAACGAAAAAAAAATTGTCTTAACTAAGTAGATACTCGGGAGAGAAAGTCTCTTGTGTTAATCATTTTTT